TGAGTAGTTCGGAGAATCGGCAAATATCAGCTCTGGCTGGCCCCAGAGTGGGGTGGGAATGGAGATTTTGCAATATTGTTCCCCTGGACTGGGGAGGGAATGGAGATTTTGCAGTATCCTTCCCCTGGAGTGGGGAGGGAATGGAGATTTTGCAGTATCCTTCCCCTGGAGTGGGGAGGGAATGGAGATTTTGCAGTATCCTTCCCCGTCCATGCCCACCAAGCCACGCCCACCAAGCCACATCCACAGAACCACTAGTAAAAAAATTTGAATTTCACTACTGATAGATGCGTGGACTTCAACTCCCAGAATTCCCCAGACAGCATCGGGAAATCCGCACATTTTCAAGTTGCTAAAGTTGAGAAACATTGGTTTATAACATCTGTTCATACACTGCATGAGGACCAGATGGAAAATTTGCAATTTTTTATAATGTAGGTCTAAGCATGTTCCCTATTTGGAAAAGCTTAACCCACCCCAAAGAACACCTTATTCCTATTTTCTTTCTTTCTTTCTTTCTTTCTTTGGATAGCATGGAGATTCCTTCCCTAGATATCTGCAGCTCTTCTTAAGACAAAATTGAGGCCAGCGGTTATTGTACCAAGAATAGATCGGTGCTATCTGAAACGTTGGTGCGGGCAGTTCAACCTGGCAAACACTAACTTCCCAATTTATACTGAGTGGAACAATTGAGAGATGGTGGGTGGCCCTGAAGCTGCCAATTTCAGATCCAAAAATACTTCTTCATATAGAAGTTATTTTGTCAAGTGATTCTCACCTTGCCCCCAAGAATTAGATGTACAGTCACGATGCAGGGACAATAAGATGTGATTTCTCATTCTCGTGTCTTGAGACAGTCTTTTCCCCTCTCCATAAATGACATCTATTTTCAGATTCTTTTACCGTGTAATTCATGTGGCTTTTACCAAAATGATATTTCAGGTGGCGCCTTTTGCCCTGATGACATGATGGTATTCCAATCTTCATCAATATGACTTCTTTTGCATAATAACTTAGAAGATGCATTTAGTTATTAGATATGTATCCATTATATAAGACTATGAGTGAAAGATTTTTCCTTGCTATTTGAAAGCAGCATTGTGATCCAAAGTTACTAATAAAGTTATATTGGTTGCCCAACCTGAAAGGAAATTTTAAATAGGCAATTTTAAGCAAATACATTTCTCTGAATTGACAAATATATAGTTATTGACTTGTCTGAATGACTCTGGAAGCAAATGAATACTGCATTACTCAAAGAACTATTCTTTTTTTTTAATTTTTTTTTTAAACATAACAAAACATAAAACAACCATCATCCATTACAATCACAGAAAGTGTGTCGATTGGTTACAATACTTTTGTGCTTAATCCCATTCCAAAATTTACAAATTTTTTAGTTTCTCTTATTTGACAAATTTTTATATCCCTTTATGCTATTATTCTCATTTAACAATCATTTAACAATGGCTTGTCTCCCATAGAAAATCGCTTCATATATTTTATCATTACAATTATTTCATATTTCATACTTCATTTCCATGCTTTATTATCTAGCCATTGATAAAATAAATCCCATATCATATAATACTGTTTGTCTTCCTGTTCTCTAATTTCAAATGTCAATTTACTCATTTCAGCACATTCCATAATTTTTTTCATAACTTCATCTTCAGTAGGTATTTAAAGAACTATTCTTCAGATCCTCTAATGTGTCATGCTTAATTAAGAATGCTCACTTTTAGAATTCTTGTGATTTTTGTGCTGTCTTAAGTCCCTTCAACTGGTATTTCATTCTATTGGTATTTCCATCTCGGAGAGATGGGAGTCAGTGGTGGGTTTCACATTTTTTACTACCGGTTCTGTGGGCGTGGCTTGGTGGGCGTGCCATTGCTTGGTGGGCGTGGAAGGATACTGTAAAATCTCCATTCCCACCTCATTCCAGGGGAAGGTTACTGCAAAATCCCCAATCCCTCCCCACTCCAGTGGAAGGATACTGTAAAATCTCCATTTGCTCCCGATCAGCTGGGACTTGGAAGGCAGAGAATAGATGGGGGTGGGGCCAGTCAGCATTTTTATTACCGGTTCTCCGAACTACGCAAAATTTCCACTACCAGTTCTCCAGAACTGGCCAGAACCTGCTGAAACCCACCTCTGATGGGAGTTGAAAGCTGGAACATCAGAAAGGATTCCAACTTATTCTACTGATTTAAAACATAATGTCTCTCTCACAGACTTTGGGCAAGGCATTCACAGCCTTCCAAATACAAAAGTCTTTATATTGGTATAGTCCAGGCCTTTTCTAATATAGGAAAGCATTCACACAAAGTTTTATTATTTCAATCAATTAATCCAACAAAAATGCCATTGACTATACAGGTAGTCCTCAACTTACAACAATTGACCCCAAAATTTATGTTGCTAAGTGAGACATTTCACAACCTTGCTTGTCATAATTGTTAAGGAATCACTGCAGTTGTTAAGTTAGCAACAGGGTTGTAAAGTGAATCTGGCTTCCCCTTGACTTTGCTTATCAGAAGTTCGCAAAAGGTGATCGCATGGACCCTGGAACACAGCTACCGTCATAAATATGAGTCAGTTGCCAAGCATTTGAATTTTGAATCACATGATCGGGCGGATGACGCATTGGTCGTATGTGTGAAAAACGGTCATAAGTCACTTTTTTCAGTGCCGTTGTAACTTTGAATGGTCACTAAACGAACAGTTGTTAAGTGGAGGACTACCTGTATATTGTATCTTCAATTTCTGAAACTGAGCAAAAGGCAGGAATTTATAAAGACATCTGGAAAGGAAACCAGCATGCCTTTTGCAATTTCACTTAACACCTGTGTGTCCTTAGACATGCATAGTTTAATCTTTGAGATCAGCATGTGCTGTGAGAAAGATCAGCCAAGTACTGAATGTGTCCCACAGTGGCTTATTCTGCCACAGTCCTGGTGACTAATGTTTCGTAATGTTTTATCTATCCTTTAGGGTTTGAGAGACAAAACACAGTGAAAAGGGGGAAAGAGCTGTTTTCTTTTGTAAAACTCTCATTAGGATTTCTTTCTGTTGTTCAGTGGTGGGTTGCCCCCGGTTCGCACCGGTTCTATAGAACCGGTAGTAAAACCGGTGGGAGGCTCCGCCCACCGACCCCGACATCATTAAAATGCTTCTGCGCGAGCGAAGCAAGCGCGTGCGGCTGGCTGCAAACCGGTAGTAAAGGTAAGTAGAACCCACCCCTGCTGTTGTTGTTATTATTATCATTATAGACACAAAGACACAGCTGCCAGTCCTTTAGCTGGTGTTGGCTTCTACGCAGTGGTGAAATCCTAATTTTTTACTATCAGTTCTGTGGGCATGGCTTGGTGGGCGTGGTGTGGCTTGGTGAGCGTGGCATGGGAAGGATACTGAAAAATCTCAATTCCCACCCCACTCCAGGGGAAAGATACTGCAAAATCCCCATTTCCTCCACTCTCCTGGGGGAAGGATATTCAAAATCTCCATTCCCACCCCCCCCCACTCTGGGGCCAGCCAGAGGTGGTATTTGCAGGTTCTCCAAACTACTCAAAATTTCCACTACCGGTTCTCCAGAACCTGTCAGAACCTGCTGGATTTCATCCTTGCTTCTATGTGCATCAAATTCTTCCCCAAAACGTAGAATGTTTTGTAAACGTACAATGTATAGGCATTGTATATGTGCAGATCGAAGCAGTGTGTCCTTTTCAATTGACAAATGGAAGTTTTATCAGTGTATCCATAACCTTTGGGACCACGACAGCCGATTTATGCTGAAATCTTTCAAGTTCGATTTTCAAATCTTGATAGTCTCTGATCTTTGATTGTTTGTTTTCTATTCTATTATCCCCTGATATTGCCATATCAATTATTCACACTTTCTTCATCTCAACCACAGTTGAATTTGTTGTGCTATCTGCCAAGACTATATCAGTTTGTATACAAGAAATCCCACAATATTATTATTATTGTTGTTGCTGTTGTTGTTGTTATTGTTGTTATTGTACTTTTGAGTCACTGTTGACTCCTGACAACTGCTTGGACCAGCCTTTGCAGTGTTCTTGGCAAAAGTTTGGAAGTGGTTTGTCTTTGCCTCCTTCCTAGGGCTGAGAGAGTTTGACTGGCTTCAAGATCAGCTACCTACTGTAGCTATAGTAATCAGATGTAGTTCCTTGTCTTCAGGAAGACTTTCTTTAGAGAAACACATTACTTAAAAGCTTTCATCTGCTCATTTCATCCATGTATACAGGTTGGTACTAGTGGTGGGTTCCAACTGGTGTTACCACCGGTTCTCTTTGCACACGCGCTTTGCGTGTTTTGCTCATTGGTCCTTTAAGATGCCCCAGTCCCTCGTTATCTTGCTTACTTGATTGTTATTTGCCTAATCTATAATCCATTTCATAAATAAGTTTTATCAGACACGCAGTCTATTCCCCACCTAGATTTTCCCTGCTGAGATATGTAGTATACTCCTTCGGCTAGCAACATCCAGAAGGAAAACGTATTGTCTTGCAACTTTGAAGTAAATTCTATTTGGCAGTGCACATATATATATATATTCTGTGCCTAAAGCATTTGTCACACCATCAAGACATAATGATTGTGTGTGCTTGTCCTTGCTTATAGTTTTCTCTATTACAATGAGATCTTTGTCATATTTAAATGATAGCTAGATAGAAATATGTTCCACAAAACTATGGCATCTTTTTTTAATTGTGCATTTTCTATGTTTTCTTTTGTTCTGTACTGAGAACAATGTATGAGAGTGGAGGCAAGGCAAATTAATAATAACTTTTATTAACAACAACAGCTAACATCAGACCCGCTCGGTGCTGAGGACTTTGGAGAGCAGGGCTGCTTCTGAGGCACTGACAGCTCTTAAATATGCAGAGCTGCCAGCGGCTGGGCCAATCAGGACGTAGCCATTTCCCGCCGGCTGGTAGCCGTCGATTGGGCCAATCGGCTGCTCCGTCCTTGTCACGTGTGCGGCCTCCAGATGCAACATCTTTAAATATTTGTAAATGGACATCTTATCCAGTGATCCTATTGTTTGCTCTTCCAGTTGCTTCTTTGCCAACTAAGGAACTGGACTTGCCAAGACATTACTCACAGCTTGTATCTTATGATAACTTCCACCACAAAATACTTGTACTAGAAATAAGCACATGTAATTCAGATAGTAGAAAGAGATTTAAAATATGCAAAACTGCTATGGGTAAAAAAAAACCCAACACCACCTAGACATTGAGCTGTTGTTAAAAGATAGAGAAGCTTGGCATCAACGAAATGCTATTATTCAAGAGGAGAGAAAACCTGAGAACAACTTCTTGTAATGGGCTGCATTTGAGAGCAATTTTAAGTTGATTGGAAATCCATGAGTCAGCACTGTTTCCCTCCTGAGGCTGTGGTTGCTATAATTAAGTGAACTGAGTAGAAACACCGTTTCTGAAGAGAGCAACAGCTCAAATAACAAATACAGAGAAGGGAGGGGGGAAGGAAGGGGATTACCTGAAGCATTATTACGGTTGCTTGCACATTCGGGCAGATGTTTAGACTGGCAATTTGCAATCTGGCATTTTTGTCTACCTCTCGGATCTTTTCCAATCACCTCACAGCACCTGCCATCTTTTAGTCAAGCTGATCCCTCTCTCAAAACCAAGGGGGAAGAAGCTGGTTTGAAAAATCTTCCATTACACAAACCAAAATGGCCCTGGAGGATGATGCCCAGCAGGGTGAAATCCAGCAGGTTCTGACAGGTTCTGGACAACTGGTAGCGGAAATTTTGAGCAGTTCGGAGAACCGGTAGCGGAAATTTTGAGTAGTTTGGAGAACCGGCAAATACTACCTCTGGCTGGCCCCAGAGTGGGGTGGGAATGGAGATTTTGCAATATCCTTCCCGCAGGAGTGGGGAAGGAATGGGGATTTTGCTGTATCCTTCTCCTGGAGTGGGGTGGGAATGGAGATTTTGCAGTATCCTTCCCCTGCCACGCCCATCAAGCCACGCTCACAGAACCGGTAGTAAAAAAATTTGGATTTCACCACTGATGCCCAGGGACTGGACAAAGAAACCATGCCAGTCTAAGGAGAAAAAAATATGAAAGAGGCTGGGCCCATCCTTGGGGTTTACCTGATCTACCACCAACATAATGATTGGGGCAGTGTGTAAACAAAATTGTATCAGGAAGAAAATATTACTGTAGCACTGTACTAATTAAGACTGCCTTGTGGGCTTGGGATCAGATGAAGACCGGAAGCACATGGAAGGAAAAGTAGCTTCCAGGACATATTAGTACAGGAAGTCTTCAACTAACAACATTTTGTTTAGTGACCGTTTGAAGTTACAACAGCACTGAAAAAAGTGACTTACACATTTACACTTACACTTACACGCTTCTTCACACATTTATGAAGAGCCATGGTAGCACAGTGGTTATAATGCAGTATTGCAGGCTACTTCTGCTGACTCCCGGAGTTCTGAGTAACACTCACCTTGCTAGTCTTTTGTAAGGTACTCAAAACCTGGCTGTACCCTCAGATATTTGGGCAGAAGATTAAGAGAGCTCTTATGCTCTGCTATCTGGTTTGACTCCTACCAGATTTTTGTGATGAATTGGCAATGATTTTTCTTCATTCCACAGTTTGGTTTCTGTGGATTATTAGTTGTTCCATTTTCTTCTTGTTTATTTTGAACTTCTTGTATGCTGCCGAGGGATGCATACAAGAGAGAGAGAGATGAGTAGCTGTATAAATTGTAAGATTACATAAATAAATCGATAACTGTCAACACATGTAAAATCATTTTACAGATCTAAGGTTTATTGAGAACAAAAACTATTAACCTTAAGCGTGCAGTAAAAAAAATCCCTGCGTGTGAAGGAATCATACATCACGTGAAGAGAATGTAGGAAGCTTTAAAAGATACTTGAGTAGAGCTTTTTTATTATGTAAATCCATGTCATTTTTTAAAAAGTTATTCAATTGGAAAACCTGTTTAATTGATTAAAAGTGATCAGTGATCTTAAAACACTATTCTTCCTAACTCTGTGAGCCTATGAAATCTGTACAAGAACATTTTATTCCCAAATTACTGAATATGTGTGTAGGGTACAAATTATAAAAGTTGTGAAGTATGTTCCCAAAAGTGCATTGTATAATCTTCAGGAATATACTCCTTAAGAAGGACATAGAAATTACCTAACAGGAGCAGTATATTGTCAATATAAGGCTACTGTGGACAGATTTTCTGTGATTTTAATTTCAATTTGATAAACTTATTAGCTGCAGGTATTGTCTAACCTAATGTGACTTTAGGATATCTTTGCTAGTTATCTTGAGTTTGGAGCAGGAAAAATATCTTTTAAATACAGATGCATTTGCAATGCCAAAATGATATGATGAAATGGCTGGGAGATACAAATCCCTTGCGGGAGAAATATGTTTTGTTATCTTTTATCTCTGACAATGTTTTGCCAAAATATTTAGATTTCTAATAACAAATTCTGTTCGGGCTCCCAAGAGTAATGAAAGAAGCCCTCAGCAAACCTGTTCCAGAAATAATTCCAATTCTTTTAAAATGAAACTGATTCTCAAATTATTATTTGTATTATTTTTACAACTCACTTTGTAATTTTGATTCCTACAGACATTCAAACTAGATTGCAGCTAACACATATAATTTCCTTGAGCTATTTAGAGGGTACCCATCTATAATTCACTTAGGAAATAAATAACAAGTGGTCTGCATAGCTCAATGTAGAATCATTATTGCAAGTAGATGACAAATGAAACACAGGGCTAAAAACCAACAAAACCAATTAGCGAAGATGATTATAACCTTGTATCCTCATGCGGACTTCCTAGAGCTGCAACGAATGTGTTAGATAAGGAAAATAACATTTATATGTTCTCATACATGTTTTTTTAATGTAAGGGTGAAAGCATATATTTCAGTGCTAATGAATGCCATAGCTGTTTGCAAGAGCAATATTAGGGCATTATAGTCTTTGGTTATAGAAATGCCACCATGAGGTAACACGCTTTCAGATTATAGCTGTTGGGAATGCTTGAAAGCAATCCATCTATGGGAAGATATAATGTACAAAATCCTTCCACTGCTCCTGCAAAGGCTATTACAGATAGTCCTTGACTTACGGCCATTCATTTAGCATGGCCTCCCCCACCCCTTGAGCCCCACCCCCACCCCACCCCTGCTCTGTGTAATGACTGCAATGGGCAGAGCTGAGATTGGCTAATGACAGCAATATGTTAAGGACCATTATTCTGGGCTCAGTTGTGAGTGTAAGTCGAGGACTATTTGTATTGGTTTACAACTGCTGTTGTCTCTAAAACTGGCCTGCTGATGGCCCTGAGAATAATAATATTTAGATTAAAAGTGAGCAACTTATGGATTGCCTGAAGCCACAGGTTCCCTTTTTGATTATCTCATTAGAACATTCCTCTATTATATCATTATGCTTCTTAAATTTTTATTTTATTTATTTTTATCCACCTTTATAATTTTTATAAATAACCCAAAAAGAGACCCTGCCACAGTCTCTCAGGATTTTTGGCTTTACAAGAATACACAACTACTAAAACACTAATATTAAAGGACTAAGAACATGTTTAAAACTTCGAAATTTGGGCCTTAATTTCCAAACACTCTAGAGAAGACAATCTGCTCTTTCAGGAGTCATGCTTCTCCATTCAGAAACACTAATCAAATGCAAAAAAACCCCCACTATTCCTCACTTATAGCCATCACTAAGTGACCAGTTGTTAGGATGGACCACTCCAGAGCTGTTTTCAAAGTTCCACTGGCTACCCACATCGTCATGGTCACATAATCGCATTTTGGATGCTTGGCAACCAGCTCACATTTGCAGTATTTCATGGTCACGTGACATCTGTTCCAGGGATGAAATGTTCCCGGTTCGGACCGGATCGCCCGATCTGGTAGCGATGGCGGCAGTTGGTTCGGAGAACCGGTAGCAAAAATCCCTGCGCCCCACCCCCATGCCCAGCTGAGCCACGCGATCATCAGAGGCTGGTTTTTTTTACTTTTAAAAGCATTTTTTCTACAACATCTTCGGCCGAAAAAATGCTTTTAAAAGGTTTTTTAAAAAAGCCTCTGATGATTGTGCAGCTCAGCTGGGATCGTCAGAGGCTTTTAAAAGCCATGAAACAGACTATTATTTAGTATGGCAGAAATGGTATAACTGGTTGGAGAAAAAGAAAGGAATATAAAAAGAGGGACACAAAAGAGAAGTCGTAATTTATAGACAAAAATTGGGTACCAATTAAGGGACATAATTAATTAAATATGGAGTTTATCATATTGTTTTATATGTAAATATATAGATATATAGATAAGAAATATAAATACAGTCTACCGATGTGACAATTTTGAAAAAGAAGTCATAAGACTTGATTCATGTTTATTTGTTTCGTATGTTGTATTGTCGTATTTATGTTTGTTTGTAATTTTTAACCAATAAAATTTTTTTATAAAAAAATAAAAATAAAATAAAAGCATTTTTTTCTGCAACCTCTTAAGGTTGTAGAAAAAATGCTTTTAAAAGTAAAAAAGTAAAAAAAAATTGGCCACACCCACTCAGCCATGCCCACAGAACCGGTAGTAACAAATTTTAGATTTCACCCCTGATCTGTTCCCTGTCAATTTGGGGCCAGTTTCTGGAATTTACTTCTGGTTTCCAGCAAAAAAAAGCCCATTAGGGTAAATCGACTTTCATAACGATTATCCCATTCATTTAATGACTGCAGCCTTCACTTAACGACTGATGCAAAAAAACCCCGAAAACCCCATAAAATCGGTCAGAGGCAACCTGCTTAATGACCTGCCTGCCTGGAATTGTGATCGTAATTCCAGGCTCAATTATGGTCATGAGCCAAGGATACCTGTAATTGACTTTGTCTTACTGTGGCTCAATTTTAGACTATTGTCTGCCATTCAAACCCCTTCAGTCTCCAAACATTGTGAAAAGGCCTCAGCAGCATTACCAGCACATTCCAGAATAGTGATTTAAAAATGACTATAGCCAGAATACTAGAATACTAATAATACTGAATCCTGAACTGCTGAATGGCCTCTCCCAATGGGCTCATGCAAATATTAAATAGCAGTGGGGACAGCCTGGGATGGATCATCCAAATAGGTATGGCCCTGTGGATAATAGGGAGCAGATGTCAGTTGTATCTAGAGCAAGAAATGATCTAACCATGGCAAAAGTGTTATTGTAATATCTTTCATAATACAGAACAAAACAACTGTGAGAAGTTTCCGAAAGATGCCCTAATTAATTCATGAGCCTCGAGCCAAATTTCAAAAGAAATCCAGTCATTTATTAGGAGCATTTATTAGGAGCAATATGTTCAAAAGTGAAACAAGGCATACAATAATATATGGCCACCTATGTGTCATGTTCAAAATCACCTGGAACAAGCCATGGATGCCATTCACCTCTGGGCTCTACTAGACTCATTCTTCACCATATAGAGGTTGAAGTCCCACAGCACTATAAGTAGGAGGACTCAACCATCAGCTCAACAACCAGGTAAAACGGCCAAGGAAACGATCCCAATTTCCAACAAGGTAATCATACACCAAAGGTAAGTCTAGATTCTCTCTGTTCCAACCTTATACCAATGGAGTTACAAACTATCATAAGCAAGATCTCCTGATAGATCAATGTCATTCCCTCATTGGTCCTAGTCTTGAGGCTGATGCAGATCCCAAAACTCACTTGGATGATTTTTAATAGAGCAATATCACTACCCTTGCTCAGCCAGGTTTTAGTAATACCTGTGTTTCTTCAAAAATAAGACCGGGTCTTATTTTCTTTTGGGCCCCAAAATAAGTACTAGGGCTTATTTTCAGGGGGTGTCTTATTTTTTTCCCCATGTATGGGAGGCCAATTTCTTTTGCTTGCTCACGGCGGGGCAGAAGGCCATGCGGTGTGCCAGTTCCGCTACCACAAGGCAGGGGGTGGAGCTTCCCCATGCGCCCCACACCAGTTTACCTCAGGGCCTCACAGCCAGGCCACCCATGCCCCAACACCTGCCTCGCCTCACGGTGGCAGCTCCAGCAGCCCCATCCAGCAGGACCCTGGGTTTCCACCAGCCCACTTCTTCTGCTTGTTTGCAGCTGCAATGCAGCAGGAGGCTGAGCAATATTCCAGTGCTGTAGTCATGAGGTGAGGTGGAAGTGGGTGGAGCTGCCCCAAACTCCCCGCACTGGCTTACCTCGGGCCCTGCAGCCAGGCCATCCACTCCCTGACACCTGCCTTACCACGCGGCCACAGCACCAGCACACCACTCAGCCTCCTGCTCCATTGTGGCCACAAGCAAGCAAGAGTGGGCTGGCGGTCACGTGGGCTCCTGCTGCACATAGGTGCTGGTGCTGCAGCCATGAGGTAGCTGTTGGGGTGTGGATGGCATGGCTGTGGGGGCCCTGAGGTAAGCCGGTGTGGGGCATATGGGGCAGCTCCATCACCACCCCACCTTGCCTTGTGGCTACAGCACCATGAGCAACCAGACAGAATAGGCGGCCGGCCTTAAGTAGGGTTTATTTTGGGGTAGGGCTTATTTTCAGGAAAACAGGGTATATGCCTCTTCATTATCAAGTCATAAATTGACAAGCGTTGTTCATCGTAGGTTCTTGAGAGCTGATGGTAAAACAATCTGACCAGCAATGTGGGGTTACTGGGTTGGAGAATCAAATCAGTCAGATAATGGCCAGCTACTGGAACAAATACTGTACTGCACATTGATACAGTAGTTTGCAATATTAAAAAACAGTGTGGAGCAGAGGTGGGTTTCAGCAGGTTCTGACCAGTTCTGGAGAACCGGTAGCGGAAATTTTGAGTAGTTTGGAGAACTGGTAGTAAAAATTCTGACTGGCCCCACCCCCTCTATTCTCTGCCTCCCAAGTCCCAGCTGATCGGGAGGAAATTGGGATTTTGCAGTAACCTTCCCCTGGAGTGGGGAGGGAATGGAGATTTTACAGTCTTCTTCCCCTGCCACGCCCACCAAGCCACGCCCACCAAACCATGCCACGCCCACCAAGCCACACTCACAGAACTGGTGTGGAGTAATGGTTAAGGCATCAGGCTAGAAATCAGGAGACTGAGTTTTAGTCCCACTTAGCACAAAACCAGCTGGTTGACCTGGGGCTAATTACTTTTTCTCAGCTCTAGGGAGGAATGGCAAACCACTCCTGAAAAACCTGCCCAAGAAAGTTGCAGGGATATGTCCAAGGCAGTCACCAAGAATTAAACATGATTGAATGGAAGAAGAAAAAATTGGAGATATAGAATTGCAAACGTTTGGGTGACCACAAGATGGCAGCAAAAAGATGCAGAAAACACTATTGTATATAGGGCAATCTACCATAGTAGTCACATAGATTTTTGCAACTGGCATTGGTAGTTTTGCTTTAAAAAAACACATTTTGAAGTTCTCAGTTTCTCCACTAAGGTTTAGAACATAGAATAATATGGTTGGAAGGGACTTTCGAAGCTTCTGGTTCTTGTATGGAATCTCTTCATGACTATTCATTCATTCATCTCACTGCAATTAACCTGTTTTTCTTCTTGGTCTTAATTTGGTTGATTTCATTAACCCACATTTTCTGCATTATTATGACACGCTGAAATATAAACTAACTGCCACTTTGCATCAACATATTATTTGTTTATTGTGCCTTATTTTTTCTTCTTCTGGGTTCTCTTTAACTGCTCCTGTGATACACTAAAGCAACACAATAGAAGTCTGATTTATATTTGTCCTGAAGCATCAGATCTTCAAATCTTAATGATATGCTGTAAGATTATTTTCACAGACTAATTGTTTCCCTCTATAATAAACCCTTATAAAGAATTGCAGACGAACAACTAATTATATTTATTATACAAAGAGTATCTAAACTTAACTATACTTTTTAAAGAAAACAATGGCTAGATGTAATTGATTAATCAAGGAACAAATACGGAAGCATTTAAACTTCTTGGTCTTGAGTAATTTCTGAAACCCAATTAATAATAATCTCTCTGAATTCAGGAACTCACTCCCTGTGACGAACTACGCAAATGTTCCAGGCTCCAAATGTTGCCAAAGATGTACAAAAAAAGAAAGTGTTATGAAGCAATATTTCTCAACCTCTGCAATTTTAAGACATGTGGATTTCAAACTTCCAGAATTCCTTAGCCAGCACATTCTGAGAGTTGAAATCCACACATCTTAAAAGTTGTTGAGGTTGACAAACATTATGACAGAGGATGCCAGATCTGCCTCTGTTCAAAAAGTGGCTTCAATCATTCATACCATACAATTATTGTATTTATTTATAGCCAGCCTTTATTATTTTTATAAATAATTGTAGGAAGTTAATACCCACCCCTCTCCTAGAAAAATGAAATGTTTTAGGAGATATTAACATTCCTAAAAGGGAGGAATGTTATGTTATTCTACATAACAAAGTTCTACCTTCTTCAAGCAGAGCCATAGTAGGAATTGCCCAAAGCCCCTTCTTTACATCATCACCCAGCAAGGCTCAACCAAGCCTGGGACACAGACAGCCTACAAAGTTACCCCTGCATGGCCCCATGGGAGTCTGACAACCAATCAGAATACAAGCTCAAATTCAAAGTCCAACAGAGGGCATAAAAGCAAGGCACTCTCAGCATCTCTGCCCTTTTTCTACTGAGGAGCTCAGGAAGCCATGTGATCCTGTTCATCAATAAACCTTCTTTCCAAGC